CCCGCGGTGGCAGTGACGCTCCAGCCCAAAGGTTAATTATAGCTGGTTATTCTTAAACGAAACCGCAAACACCCTTTTCCCCGTGTTTTATTACTTTATAACTCACCATATAAACCTGATTCCTATAACCATAAAACAAAGCTGAAACGAGTTGGACATGTACCAGTGAGGAGAAAAAGAAATAGCCGGAGGGGCCTCTCAGCTGTGCGGTAATGTATATCCATGTGGATTTCGGCGTCTCGCGCCCGCTCGGAAACTTAATATTCCAATCAGCTCCCGCGCTCCTGCATTAAGAGCCAGCGAGCGCATCAGTGCCCCTATAGCTGAGGGAATATTACTCACCGGGTCATGGTCGGCTGAGTAAAATACAACCCTCATATATCATCATAACTGCCAGCAAATGACAATTATAATTGAGACGGCAATAACTAGGAAAGAGTTCTTTAATTTAACATCCAATTATTACAAGTTATCACTCCTTAATAAATGTAATATAACAGACAATCAATGTTGCATGCGACGGGCCAGGCTGCATTGGGATGGGAAATTTATATCCTGGGGAAAAAATACTGTGTGTGTGGGTTCTGCTTTTAAAAGTCTGCAGCGGTTGTGATAAGTGTAGCGGGAGCCGCGCTATAAATAGCGGCTGCCACGGCTGCATTTGCATATGTACAATAGCTGCAGGCCAAGGGGAGGAAGGAAAAGCTCCTTCTCCCCAGCGTAGTAAAATAAGAGCAACAACGGAGAGCAAAGCGCGCGGCGAGCGCGCCCGGTGCCGGGAGCACGCACCGGGAGAGCACCGCGGACACTGATAAAAATCACAGCAATAGCCATGGACGCGATCCCGATCGGCTCTACAGGGGAATCACAGACAGGGAGCTCTCCAAACCTCTCTGAAATCAGATCTTTGGATATTAATTTTTTTCCCGTGCCCTTTCTGAGCATTTCCACGGTGAAGTGAGCCATGCATTTTAATGTAACTCTCCCAGGCGAGCACGGGGACAAGGGGCTATTTTCAGCAGCAAGTGTGGGAAACCCTGAGGCCTGCTCGGCCATTCCCGCTGCCCGCAAGTTTGCTCATTGCGGCACTGCACCGCGCTGCACTGCACTGCATCGTGCTGCACGCTGCACCGCGCTGCACTGCACCGCGCTGCACCGCGACACACTGCGCCAGGCCGCACACTGCTCATTGCTGCACTGCACCACGCTACACTGCACTGCACCGCGCTGCACGCTGCACCATGCTGCACTGCACCGCGCTGCACCGCGACACACTGCGCTGGGCCGCGCACTGCTCATTGCTGCACTGCACCGCGCTGCACTGCACTGCATCGCACTGCGCGCTGCACCGTGCTGCACCGCACTGCGCTGGGCCGCGCACTGCTCATTGCTGCACTGCACCGTGCTGCACTGCACTCCACCACACTGTGCTGTGCTTCGCTGCACATCGCTGCAGGCCCAGTGAGCACTGGGGGTTCTGGAGCTGTAACGTCACCCTGGTCAAGCTGTTTCAGCACCGTCAGGAACAGACGAATTGCAATAGTGATTTGTCTTTGGAAGGAAGGAATATTCTTAGTTGCCTTTTTTTTAATGGAAAAAAAAAAACAGTAAAATTCAGTTCTTTACTTTTATTCGAGAGTGTCCGCTGCAGCAGCAAACCCCTGCCTTATCGCTGAACATCACCCAGGCTTCCAGCCCAGAAGTTCTTCCCTTCTTCCCGCACGGCAGAGGCAGGACGGGCCGGAGCAGCGGCGCCGGGCAGGACCGGACCCAAAGCGCCGGTGCCCGGAGCGCCCGGTGGAGACGCCCCGCGGCCCCGCGGGCGCTGCCGGCCTGATTCTGCCAGGCGGCTGCCTATTCCGTACAGGTATCCATAGATCTATTTCCAGGGAGTGCAGTGACAGGGGGAGAACACCTGGGCTGCTCAGAGAGAGGAGCCATTTGCATCATGTAGAAAAAAAAATTAATTCTACTTGAAATGCATGTATGTGTCAGAGCACTTGACGTATAAAGTAGAAATAACACCGCTTTGAATCTGTAGCATTTATTGTACTGCACGTGCTGCACAAATAAAATACATAATTACCAGACAGGCAAAGATAAATTAGCACCTTAAAAATCTGCACTTTTAACCAATAACTTCTGCAACATGAAGTTTACCTGGACACTCCCAGCCTGCTTGAGCACCTGGGCTGACACCCGCCTTGCCGCTGTGCACTGGGACCGTGGCCGTGCTTGCGATGCAGGCCACAGAGCCTTCACGCAAATGGAGACGATTTAGCTTTTTTGATTAAATTACTTCTAAGTAGTGCAGCACAGGCTGCATGTAAACCCTGCTGGCAACTGCAGCCTCTTCCAATGTCTCCCCTCTCCGCTCCAGGACGATGCAGGGAAGCCCCATCCCGAAGGCACCACGTCCTGCCGCAGCGCCCTGTGCTCCCCCAGCTGCGGAGCTGCCCAAGGGGCCCCAGGGGAGCAGTGAATGGCCCGGGTGGCACCGCGGGCACTCGCCAGCTCTGCCGGAGCCCGTCCAGCACGAGCGTCTCACCAGCAACCCCACTATAGGTGCCAGCACCCCTCTATAGGTGCCAGCGCCCTGCTATAGGTGCCAGCAGCCCTGCTATAGGTGCCAGAACCCCTCTATAGGTGCCAGCGCCCTGCTATGGGTGCCAGAACCCCTCTATAGGTGCCAGTGCCCCGCTATAGGCCAGTGCCCCGCTATAGTTGCCAGCGCTCTGCTATGGGTGCCAGCAGCCCCCTATGGGTGCCAGTAGCCCCGCTATAGGTGTCAGTAGCCCCTCTATAGGTGCCAGCAGCGCTGCTATGGGTGCCAGCGCCCTGCTATAGGTGCCAGCAGCCCCGCTATGGGTGCCAGCCGCTATGCCCCAAAACTGCAGCCCTGGTCTCAAGCTGCAGCATCAGACGGCCCAGACAAAAGCAGAGCCCGTCTGCAGGAGGATTTGTCTTTCAAATCTAGATTAGCGCCTGGTGCTCGGGGAGGAAGGGACCCTAATCTGATTGAGGAAGGGGCGCTCGCGATATCAATCTCCGTTCATCCCATTGTATTCAGGCTGCTTTGGAAATTAATATTCATTTTTGTCTCTAAGTTTATGCTAAATCTCTTGCGCTTCTTGTCTCCGTTTGATGAATTGCAGTCCGATGTGTTTTATGCCATGCGCCAGAATTAGCATTGTATTGTGGTTTTAACTTTATGTGTGTGTTCAAACAGCCCAAAGAAAGCTGTTCTGTGTGTGCACAGGGCCCCAGGGCCGCGCTGGTGGGCACAGGAGCAGCTCCCGGCGCTGCGCCGCCCCGGCCCGCTCCTCCTGCCCCGTCGGGAGGGCCCGGCCACGGGCATCGCTGCTCCACAGCCCCTTGGTTGTCTGTCACCCACCCAAGGCTGGGCCCATTGCTCGGCCCAGCGCTCAGCCTCTTGTTGGCCTGTTGCTTGACCTGTTGCTCGGTCCATCCCTTGACCTGTTAGCTGGCCCATTGCTTGGCCTGCTAGTTGGTCCATCTCTCAGGGGTTGCTTAGCCCATCGCTTGGCCCATTGCTTGGCCCACCACTCAGCCCATTGCTCACCCCATCGTTTGGCCCATCATGCAGCCTGTTGCTCACCCCATTGCTCACCCCATCGCTTGGCCCTTGCTCGGCCCATTGCTCGGCCCATTGCTCACCCCATCACTTGGCCCATCAGGCAGCCTGTTTCTCAGTCCATGGCTCACCCCATCGCTTGGCCCTTGTTCACCCCGTCGCTCACCCCATTGCTCACCCCATCGCTCACCCCATCGCTCACCCCATCGCTCACCCCATCGCTCACCCCATCGCTCACCCCATCGCTCACCCCATCGCTCACCCCATCGCTCACCCCATCGCTCACCCCATCGCTCACCCCATCGCTCACCCCATCGCTCACCCCATCGCTCACCCCATCGCTCACCCCATCGCTCACCCCATCGCTCACCCCATCGCTCACCTGCTCCTCAGCCAGCCCCGGGCCATCTCGAGGAGCAGGACCGGCACCGCAGAGGATGCAAAGGCCCTGCCTGCTCCCCCAGCCCCGCAGGTCACCGGCCCCGTCCTGCTCCGCGCCGGCCGCCCGCAGCTCGTGCTGGCGCCGGGCTGCTTTTCCTGCGCAGTTCACTGCCAGGGCCGCCTCCCCTCAAATTCAATTTTTTCCCTTTCCCGAGTACATTGCATCCCGCTCCTTCCCCGTCACACGGCTCCGGCACCGCTTCAATTGGATTCCAAAAATAACCGCGCTCCTCGCACGCTCGTGCTATTATCCGCCGCGCGCGCGGGCAGGCGCCGGGTCATTCCATTATCCGGGCAGGAGATAAGCGCGCGCGGGGGCAGACGGGCTCTTTGACTCCCTGCCCTGCGGTAATGGGCCTTTTTTAAGGGCATTAACCAATGTTTCTACTTAGGTATTTGACAAGAGTAAAAGTAACATTGCCATTTAATCCTCTCTTTCCATTTTTTCCCTCACCTACAGACAGCTTTCATGTGCTCGCCTCCCTCCAAGCGCTCAAACTCCAGCTCGGAACCTGCATGTGGTTCCTCCAAAGGCTGCTCAGAACTTCTGCCTTGGCTTGACTTATATATTCCAGGTCCCAGGATGCCAAGGACGGGGCCTTTTCCAAGCCCTTTTGGGGATTTCTCTGCCCTTGCAGGGCCAAAGCAAAACTGCCTGCAGCTCCCTGCATCTGGAGGGGTGGGATCCCGGAGAATCCCACTGCTGGCAAAGCCAGGATGCTGCCAGACTTGTCCCAGGCAGGGAGGGAAAAAGCGAACACGGGTGGCAATGGAAGAGGCTGGCACAAAAACACAAAGAGATAAACCCAGGGGTGGCTCCTGAGCTGCATCAGTCATTGAGCTCCTCAGTTCAATTACCCAAGTCCTGGCCTGGGGGTGTCCCATCTGCTGGCTTCATCCCCAAGGTGCCACCTCCAGCTTCCTGTGGATGCTTCCCAGTTGGGAAAGCCATTCCCAGCTTGGATCTGGGTTTGGGCACAAAAGGCGGGTTTTGGCCAGAAAGGTTCCCAGCAGAGGAACCTGCCAGAGCTCTGGGACAGCGAGAGCGAGCGCGGAGCTTGCAAGAGCGCGGGGAGCTCTGAGGAGGCCCCACACACCCACCGTAACCACCCTGCAAGGAAAGGAGAACACGAGCCCCGGCGGCGCCGACGCG